CCACGCTGATGGGGTGCTGTGAAAAGCAGTCGCTGGGAATGTAGCTGCGTCCGCCTTCGAAGCTTCGATGCCCTACTCGCAACTAACTGGCACTCGCTGTCGGCCGACGGCGTCCAATGTCGCGCATCGGTTGCCGTGGAAAACAAAGCGAAGCCGGTGAGCCAGCCTTCCGGCCACGCGACCGGCACTGGCACTCTGCCGCTGTCGTCCCGCGTGCCGCCGCCGGCCCCGCTCCAGCTCCATCTGCCACTACTAATGCCGATCCCACCGGCGCGCCGCCAGCGGGACGGAATCGATCCCCGGCGTCAAACACCCGGCGGATCGTACTCCAGCGCGGATCAAGCCAGACGTGAAGATCGCGCAACCCACCGACAGACGTTGAAGCAGTGAGGAAGTCATAGCAGCTAGGTGCGGTGGTAATGGAAGTGGACGTTGGCTGGGCTTGGTCAGCAGTACGCTTGCAGCAGTCGCCGTGGTGCTCCAGAAGGCTACATGGGAGACTCATAAAGTGTGGGTTTCCTCGCACTGAAAGTTTTGTGGGCATGGTGGGTCGTGTTTAAGACCTAACATGCACGCGCCAGAGGCAGCAAAAACTTAATGTTGTAATATGACTGAATGCATTTATGCAGAAAAAATGAAGCACCCGCCGATGCATGACTGGAAACTGATCGAACTACGCTATTCATCTTTCAAGTTTGCTTACTGCATCTTACAATATTGTTCTGAACAGCTCAATAACGCACGCGTTCGTCTACATGGTCACATGCTGTAGTTGTCTGACAAACGAACCGCGTAATGTAACACAAATCATATTCGCAGTCTTGAGACACCCTGCTGCTCACCGGTGCACTAAATGTAACAGATCCACCCCATCTTATGACAATGCTGTTTACCAAGTCGTTTCTGTTGTTTTGACTGAACAAGGGAGACTTCAACCACACTATGACGATATGAGGTACAAAAAGGCAAAAATTACTGCTTTCTGAGCTTCTGCAGTTCATGTCGGTTTTTACTGGTAAAATCCGCAATAGCCAGAAAATGACAAAACCTAGCCCGGTCGACTGAAAAGCCAACCCTGCCTGGAGGCATCTCACACCATCCAGGAGCCTAACAAGGCGCCGGAGTGCGACCTGTCCCACTGTGCGGGTCCTCCATGGAGCCCGGGCGGCGAGCGGCCACCGCCGCTCCATCTCTCGCCTGGAGAGACGTCTCCATCCCACGCGGCCACGCATGGACCGGGCCATGGCCGGTGGCCCGGTGCCCCCTGTTGGTCATGCACGCGCGCTGTTTGGTGGTCGTGTATGTATTCATCGCGGCAGGAGCGATATGGCACCAGAGGCATCTCTCGGTAATAGTCGCCTCTCATGATTTGGTGCACTTCATGCCATGCCACCCGCACCCGCACCCGCACCCCTCCCCTCCCCCCTCACCCGTCCGCCTGTGGCGCCGTTCCGACCCCCTGCCCCAATGTCCTGCTGCAGTCAGCCTCGCCGGTAGCGCACCACCGACCGAGGCGACATTCAGAGCGAGCGACCGGAGCGCACTCGCTCCGCGGATGGTCCCAAATCCCCAGAAATCGCCAGTACTCACGGTGCCTTCCAACCGATCTGAGCGACTTCGCACTGGCCAAGCAGACAGGTGCCTGGACCCCGAGACCGACGTCGGGCCTTTCCCGGCATCGCGAATCGCAATCGCATTGCAATCTGAACCTTCGATGATCGGACAACAAATCACCTGATGCCTTCGATTCACATCCTGGAGCCCAGGTGTGCCTTAGGTGTGCCATCTCACATTAAGGTGCCAAGCACTCACGTGCCGTCCCCCCCCCCTTCCGGGACGGTTACGGGGCCGCAGCCGGTGCGGTGCTCACCTGGCCAGGCAGCGCGGCAGGCAGCAGCAGCAGCCGGCCAGAGCCGGCGAGTCGCGGCGCGGCGCGCCGCCGGTCCGCGCTCAGGCAGGTGGTCCGTCTCAATCCATCTCGGGGCGTGCCGTCACGAGGAGAAAACCGCGTCAGGGGCACAGAGTCATCATCGTCCATCACGCAAAGGGCACATGGTCAGGCTGTGCCCTGGCCAGCTCAACTGGTGCCTCCCCTAAAGAAGCATGCAGGTCAGTATGATACTGGATCTGATTTGGGTCAGATGATCAGTGACTTTTTCAGAGGCCATTACTTTCAGGTCTGACCAGGTCCAATAAATCTGCTGGGTGAAAGGACAGCTTGCTACATTATCTAGTGGTACATATTTTGCCAATGAAAACTTATTATTAAAAACAAAGCACAGAAAGCACAAAGTCCCAGTATGTGCATTTGAAGAGTTACAAAATGCATACCATTTAAAGAGCACATATGCATGTAGACTGTATGAAAGATCACATGTGGTGTGTAATGGATCCCATGCAAGGTTAACACAGTGGTATGGCCAAGAAACTGTGTCCTTATCAGCAGATATAAATTTTGCCTGACTGCTGAAGAGCTGACATCCAGCATACATGCTTCTGGGCACTGTGCATGGAACACAACATGGTCCTTTTAACTGGGAATCCTTTGGTACAATCCAAAGGTGCCTGGTGGCTACCATGCTGGTGACACTGGGGCCAGGGTAACATGGTCAATCCAGAGGTCCTTACAGGGATACAATATATTGGCCCTCCCATGGCACCTAAGACACCTTCTGACCAGAACCATTGGCCCTGGATTGTCACAAGGTCCTCAGTGAGTGCCTTCATGAAAGCAAAAGGAGCCCTTACTGGGAAACCATGGCCAATGAAAGGCACAGGCCTCAATTTGTCTTGCTTTTATCCCTGGTTGGAATTGGAGCAAGACTTCTAGACATACACAGATTGCCACAATTACCTCATTGTAAACTTGTCTGGTATCATTTTTGTATTGCCTTTTGTTGCTGTATGCTGGCCAGCCCCAACCAGTGAAAAATCCCTGACATTTGGGATCCATCCATCCCTGTTTAATATGTGCAGCTTGCTGACTTGGACCCCATGTTGAACAAGCTCCCAGTTAGGAATCCTGGACACAAGTATTCTATAAAGGGTCCCTCACTGTCACAGGGGCTCTAACCAATAAAATAGGTCTTCTGGTAATCACAAGTCCCAGCCTTGCCCATACATGGATAAGGATGGAAGCTCATCCTTTGAACTTCAAGGCAGTGAATATACATGTGTCTCCAAAGAAGAGAACCATTGTGTGCCTTTAAAAATAAATACATTGATTCTAAAACCCAGAACGTTCTGGAATGAATGGTAAACCCTAATGGGTCAACTGCAAAACAAACAATCCAGTCAACCGTTTGCCTTTGGAAGTGCCCCATAAAGCTGGCTAACCAAATCACTGCTTGGTATGTGTTGAGCAATGCTAAACAACCGCACAGGAAACGAATATCTCATACATTGATACAAAAATAAACAATGTACCAGCAGCTCCACATAATCACATCACCATATCACACCCACCAACAGCCTGAGGCCCCGGTGCAATAGACTGATGTAAAAATGGCCTGTACACATCTAAAACCTATCCAGTATTTCGAAGAACAAGGCTCGGCAAAGCCCATACACCACACACCTTAGCGCTACCCTAGCAAACGACGTTAGCAAAGTGGGGCCCCGAGATGCAGGGAAGTCACTATGCGATTTGTTTACTTCCGGCACGAGCCGATGCATGACGTCACTGGGAGGCACTTCGTTCATATCGCATAATCAACAAATGATTGCACAATGGTCGCAGATTGCGTTATTCGAAATGCACCGCCAGTGATGAAGAGCTTCTCTAATCAGAAGACCATTTGCTGACGCTGGCGATGCATTTTCTACGTGAACAAATATTGGCCTTCAAAAAAGGCTTTAGAGACTTGAAGTGAATGGTTGAAGTGAATCACTGATGCTCTTCCGGTAAGTTCCAGTACTGCAGTCACAGGCCTCGTTCTTCTTTAAATAAACTGAATCAATTGAATTTAGTCTGAAAGCCGTGCAATACTGGCATCAGTAGGTACAACAGATTTTCATGAATGTTTTAAAACCTTGATTTGCCCATCTGTGCAGGATGCTAAAGAGTAGCGTCATCCCCCACACCCACCCGGTGCGCATCAGCCGACGCATGGCTCCGAGACGGAGCTGCCAGCTGATAAGGCGACGATATTGAGGGCAATAAACGTCGGCAACACTTCCACGTAGCGACAGTGACGGAAAAACTCATTGCTAGCCTCGTAAAGTTTCTTCCACGTAACAGTTCAACGCATTGTATTAAAAAGGCTTTAATTGGCGTAAAAATAACACAAACGGCTAGATTTTCGGGGCTGTGAAGTTGGCTGCAACGCAGAAAAGATAGCGAATCATAGTTTCGGAGTTCTATGCTGACCATAAACAATTTGCATTATACTTAGTAGCATATTTTCCCAACGCGGGCTAAGGGACGTTATCAAGCAAACTTTGGTTTCGTTGCTAAAATATAAGTACTTTTCTGTCTACCCTATTAATTAAACTTGGATTAGTTTTAAAAAATCACAGGAAAATATCTCTGCCTTAACTCCTACCATAGGAATGCCCTTGCCCAAAGCTGTCGGATCGGATCATACCGGTACGATCCTTGGACCGGATGGACCGAACGGAACCGGATGGGGCCGGATGGAACTGGTGGAATCGGATGAATCCATACAGGATCGTATGGGGCTGGACGGGGCAAGATGAGAGCAAACAAAATCCGAAGGTACTGCGCTGGACGAGCCGGCACAGGACCGGACGCGATACAACGGAAGATTAGATAGTCAACGTCAGCGCTCCAAAATTCATCCAGTAGGATATCCATAATGTAAATATAAATTCATTGTACCAAAATTCTGGTTATCCAACGGCCTCCACAGTTTGCGCGCTGTTCTTGGGCGTATTCCGTCAGCCTTTTCCAACGTGATCCATCTGAAAATATTAGCCAGTTTTCATTTGACCTCCTCGTTTCATTTGACTGCCGCGAAATCAGCTGGCATATGCGCCGTGCTTTTCTGTCTGCTTTTTGTGTTTTGAGTGTGCTGACGCGAACTGAGAATACCGACGGGGGTGCGTGACCGGTTCGAGAAACAGTATTACTTGTTGTCGTTATTCGGCACAGAGTTCAACAGCACACAACTGCTGGGGTAAATACGTACAGGTGTGTATTTATGGTGCATCGAATAGTGTCAATATTGCATAGATTATGTAATAGAAGTGCAAGGCCTGCGCAGGAAGTACCGATGCTACATGGATAGGCGACAGATGAAATTTGTGACTTTTGGGGAACGCTTCTTGTTGTCATTGCCATGCAAGGGTGGTTAATAAAATATATGCAGGTATTGGTGAAGGGCTATTGTATCTACTGATACTGATATTGTGTGGTTTGTGCACCAAATTTGGAAAATGCAGGTGTTTTAGACAATGTGAGACCTATAGGGAAAATATTTGGTTCCTATAAATGATGCTTGCCTTAAGGGGTGGGACTTGGAAGCATGAAATATGATCTGATAGACAGGTGTTGTCCCATTACACCATCTATCACTATTGTTGACCACAACACCTGCACAAAGGGCTTGCATAGACTCCCCCCCCCCCTGACCATGGGGATGGTGGAAGTGTTGTTCCTGTAGGTTTGTGGTGATAGCTTGTGAATGCACAGAGATTGTGTTGATGGGTGGGTAACCAATGTCCGATAGGACTCACAAATCATTGGAAGGTATACCCATCAATTTTGCTCTGAGACAAGAAACCATTCCACTTGGCACCTGCTTGCTTCTTTTGTGCCTATACAACAGGTCTTGTAACCATGATATCCACATTCTGGTGCTTTCCTTGAATTGGTGCCTTCTTCAGAACTAGGCTGCAAGGTATTGCCTCCATGGTCAGGTTGTGGCCGCTGTATGATCACATGGGATGTGTTGCTCCCTCATGTAAAAGCAATAGGGCCAGTGTGAGGACATCCTAGAGGCAGTGACAACTAAGAAAATGAATAAAATATGATTTTTTTGGAAGTAGATTAGGAACAGGAATTTGCAAATTAAATTGCAATATATTTTGTTAGAGGTTATTCATCTTGGACATTGATCTGCTTCTCATTTGACAATCACTTGCATAATGCTGGGCCTTTCTCCTGTCCTCCACCATAGGAAAGCAGAATGCTTTTATTGCTTGTTTGTGCCATGACCAAGGTGAAGGTGTTTTATATGCAGCTATCCAGCTTGGGTCCAACCTTTGTTGTTGGTTGCTAGAAGCTTTGATGATCCTGGACATTCTTCGACCAAAATCAGGGGTTAAAGAACCTAATGACTGTAGCCCAGGCCTAAGGCAGCAGTCACACAGCACTAAGGCAGAGACCACAGCATACAAGTTTTCTTGTACCAATACTCAGACAGAGGCAAGAAAGAGGTTCTTCAGTTACTGCTGTGTTAAGGAATGAAATTGCTTGCATGAGTCTCATGTGCCCAAAGATGTCCTCTTTCAAGTGTTCTCTCATAGTTATGCTGGAAGCCAAGCATTTGTGCTTTCTGAAGCAACAGGCATTGTACCTCATGTCCTATTCATTTGTTCCTTTAGCCAATGGGAAATGTGCCTCATGCACATGCCATACAATCTGGAGTTGTAAGGCTGGAGGCAGCCTGTTACAATTGAACTTCTTTTCACATCACAATCAGGTTTGTCAATCAAAGCTTTTGCCCATTCTGGCAGATAGCCAACTACTTGACTCCCAAGTATTTTGTTCTTGGATCTGCAGGGATGGCTATAAAAATGTTGTACTTGAAGTTCTAATTCACACAGACACAATCATTCCAGTCACAGTATATTCTGCACATTTACACTTTCAGTGAGGCTGGCATATGTTTTCTGTCTGAGTTTCTCTACTTCTTAACCAAAGGCAGTCCTCAGTCTATCAGACAAAGAAACCCACCAGGTGAGTGACACACGCCCTTCAATAGTGCCGTTTCCGTTAATGCCCAACCGCGTGTATGTTAATGATCTTCAGTGATTCCTTTATCGCATCTCGTTCACCAGTGTGGCGCGTTTTGTAGATTTTGATGTGAGTAATAACATGGTACAAAACTTATGATGCGTTTTTACTGAGTGTGGACTACTTTAAGTGTTTTTGTTTGTTTCAGGCTGGTGGGAGCTGTGCGAACCGGCAATGAAGCTGTCAGCCGCCGCGTTGTCTTCTACTCAGAAGTTTTACAGCACGGTGGCTTCAAGGCCGTGTAAAACAGTGGACAGGATACTGAGAGTGGATCATGCTGGAGAGCTGGGGGCGGACAGAATCTATGCTGGACAGATGGCTGTGTTAGGTAAGGACTGATCTCTTGATAAATCCGAGTGGAACTCCTTCTGGAATGTTCCACATTCATATTTTAATGCTGAGCATTCATTCCGCATGTTTTCCCTCCATCACAATAATTGTAAAAGGTGATGGGCGCGGCTAGGATTTGTGACTGGGGCTAGGTTTCTTATAAAGAAGAAGTTGTTTCCCATTGGCACTTCATCATTCACGGTACCTGTGCGATGTAAACAGGCCACCGATGCTGGAAGTGCTATTGGATGCTGTGCTTGACATCAATGAGTCACCAATGTTCACTTGCTCTGATACTGTAAGCAATGGTTTCTGCTGCTTGCTCCACGTATTTCTTGGGCTCCCCACTGAACTTGTCACTAAATTACTGCTGCTGGGCGCAACATGTCACAGGAATGTCAATATGGAAGTCAGTGAGATATAAGCCAAAGTAATGTCTGATCCCAAGATTACTTGAGCACATCCAATAGTGTAATGATGTTGGCAAGGCTTCATTCGTCCACACATGTGTTCCTCCATATAGCCGAGTTCGTTAGAACACCTGGCTTCCCACTCACCAGTCCGTGGTAAAGCTCGCTCAAGTCACTTTGGGCGCTCGTTATTTGCGTCTGACCGGGGTGGCCTGCGGCTGGGGACAGCGGCCGCGCTAGCTTATGTTCAGGTGACGTTTGAAGCCAGGGCAGGGCGTTCCAGGCATTGCAGCATGTTAAGCTTTCGCTAAAAAAAGCTGTATTGTGTTGTGAAATTCAGAATTTCACGATGGTAGAGTGGGATCAGAGCTTAAGCAGCCAGCACTGCCTAGGGTAGATGCTGATCCCACAAATTCGGCCAATCAAAAGTGGTTTGAGATATACGTTTTAAAACATGTACCTTTATGCATTTTGGTATTAGGTAATAAACTGCACATGTGTGCTAATTTGCAGTTATTATCACTGTTTTACTGTGGCGAGTGACCCTGTTTTTAACGCTGTAACGATTGGCCCCAAGAACCACAAAAAACGAACTCCGGGAAAAGGGCCTTTAAAAGGTCTCTTAACTTTAGGTGAACGGTCATTTTGGCCATTTTCCGTCAATTCCCCCCCCCCCCCCCTCCCGTGTTTAGTACTGTAAAACAACATGCTTAGTTTTCTTTCCTCCTTTTTGCAGGTAACACCAGCATTGGAAAAACCATCCAGCACATGTGGGACCAGGAAAAGGAGCACAAGGCAAAGCTGCAGGAACTGATCCCCAAATACCGGGCCAGGCCAACAGCGTTGTTACCACTGTGGCACGTGGCTGGATACGCGCTTGGAGCAGGTATGCGCGCGGAGCACCAGCTGCCCGTCACTGCGGCTGCATGTCCAATTGTGTTCGGCCGCACCACTCGCAGCCGCAGTCACCCGCTGTGTGCAGCACCGGAGGCCACTCGCTGAGGCACGCTCCCTTCGCTGTCGGCAGGCACGGCGCTGCTGGGCAAGGAGGCAGCCATGGCGTGCACGGTGGCTGTGGAGGCGGTCATCACCGACCACTACAACAGCCAGATCCGGGAGCTCAGCCGGCTGCAGGCCGAGACGGGCCAGGACCACACCGAGCTGCTGCAGGTGGAGGCGCCGGCCGCCGCCGGACCGGACCGGTGCAGGGCACCGGCGGCTGGGTGCCGCCGGACGGGTGGCCACGTGCACCGTCTGCCTCTGGCTCAGGTTCACCGGCCACAGACCGATCAGAACCCGGTGCGGCTGTGGCCACGTCGCATGCGCTCATTGGTTGCTCTGTTGTCAGTTACAACTGTTATATCACACCCGCTCGTGCTTTCCTCCTCTTAAAATCGCACAAAAGTTCGCCATGCGTTCCTGCTATGCGGTCAGTGACGAAGCGGACCTCTCCATGTTGAACTCCGTTTTGCACCCAGCAAAGCTGGTCGCTGCATTTTGTGGGTCGTCTTAGCAACGAGTCGATGCCATCAGTTCCCGTCTTCTCCTCCATACGATGCTGGAGTCCGCCTGCTCCCTCAAATGCCGTGTTGGACATCCATTCTGACTGCCTGGTGTTCCGCTGGGTTGGCAGATCATATCCAAGTTCCGGGATGAGGAGATGGAGCACCACGACACCGGTCTGGCGCATGACGCCGAGCAGGCGCCCGCCTACCAGCTGCTCTCGCAGGTGATCAAGGCCGGCTGCCTGGGAGCCATCTGGGCTTCGGAGAGGATCTGACCGCTGCTGACGTCACAGGAGCCACGGCCCGACGGAGCTCCTGTGACATCAGCCGCTCCAGTGCCGAGCGGCTGGCTTATCGTGTGCTGCACTACTTGAGCTAGGAGATCACGTTGTATGTTTGGTTGGCTGATTGATTGTTGTATGCTATGAGATTCTCGATGTGTTTTGAAATAAAACAAAATGAGGTGTGATTGAGTTATGCGGAGAGCCCTCTGGATGGTGCTGTACATCACTCTTGGGAGGTCTTTCGTGGTGTTTGTTGGCCTACATGATATATAGGCTGGTGAGAAGCCCCATGAAAGGGAGTTTTCCGCATTGAAGTGCGGTGTTCTACCGTTTGAGCTGACCAGGAAGGGCCAAGCCAGCAGAGCACTGGATTGGCAACCAAGAAGACCATGGCTCGAGCCTCGGCAATTCCAATGAGATAATTCGGATTGTGACCCGTGCATGGCTGATAGTCAGGCATCATCCACGCCCTTTCAGGACACGATAACACCTGACGCCGGCCGGAGAGTTAACGGACCGAAACATTGTGTTCATACCAGCACTACAGACGGGGGCGAGAAGTCAAAACAATTACTCCGTCCGCGATACTAATATATCGTCTCAATCCTTCCGCAACACTGTACCTTTGGGGATTCCCAAAGAAAGTGTGTCGACGGTCAACCTTAAGGTTTGTGTGTGGTTTGGAAGCATATAAGAATCGCCTTGAAACGGGCACAATCTCATTCTCCGCGCACAAATATATGTGTTCTGAAAACACTGCCGTATTTCGTCTGGACCCGCGCCTTTCGGCGCGGGTCCAGACGACGAGACACGTTCAGCAACAAGACACTAGCGGGCCATATGAAACCAGTGGGCGCCTATGGCAGGTACCACTTCTTCGAGTGGTTGGTTAAACCTCAGCGAATGCTATGAACCGCGCACAGTCACATTGTCGGCGTGCGGTTTCGAATATTTTAACACTGCTGTAAATTTATCTCCACGCACCGGGCAGACAACCGGAATCAATAACGCAACGGCTGCGGGTCATGCCAATCAAAAAGCCTCTGGCGGCACAAACTGACATTTAGGGACGTTTATTGTCCCTTAACCAGAGTTATCAAGTACACGGTCCCACCATCTGCGCGTGGCAATACATGCTATTTTTAACACGATTCTAAAAAAAACTTTCGCATTTTCGTCTCCACGTGCCGTGTGGCCGCCTGCATTCATTAGAACGCCGTCAGGGGGATATTAGAATGGTGTGGCTGACCGAACACGATTTTGTACCGTCCGGTGTCTCTCAGCGGGTGCTGTCGAACGTGGGCGGCCGTCTCCGCGCGCGATTACATTTTTGTTCAAACATTGCCGTATTTTCGTCTTCACGCGAAGAATGACAACGGCACTCAGTAATGCGAAGCGCGGAGGGCCTATCGAACAAGTAGATGCCATTGGCTGATCTTTAACTTTGGGTATCGTTCCCTGGCATTCAGACATTAGTATCGTACGCACACGCTTGCTCTCATCGGACGTGACTATAAATGATCTAAAAGCTGCTGAATTTGAAGAAAACTCACCCAGCGTTCACCCGTACCCAGCAACACGACCTCAGGTGTCTGTTAAAATGGGCGCCACCGGCGATCGCAATGTTTCAGTGTTGTTTGAGAGTCCTCAACCCGTGCTATCAGACGTGCACGATCCCCTCTCTCCGTACGTGACTACACAAATTTGCAGAACGCTGCGGTATTGTGCCCACAAACGCCGTTACGCCACCCGCATTCGGTAACACGCAATCAGAGCGCTCGAGTGCTGTTCGATGGCCCTGGGCTAGCGGCGTCGAACGCGCCCGAGCGCGTGATTATAACAATTCTCAAGCGTTGCCTTATTTCGCCTCCACGTGGCTTGGGATCGCCCTCATTCAATAATGCGTTGTCAGGTGATCATATCAAAGTAATAGGTGTCACATGCTGAGCACGGCTGCCCAGCGTCGTTCAATAACGCAGAGCCACCGCTACCAGAGGCGCAAATCTTACCTCCACCCCTCCCCCCGCGCTCGTTGTTATAAAAACTGCCGTATTTTCGTCTCGCAACGCCCCAAGCGACTGCTTTCATGGAGCGTCAGACGTCAAGTAGACGTTGGAGGGCACACTGTAATACTTCACGCACCGTGACACCGATCTTGGCCGACACCCTTTTACGTGACCCCTGAAAGGGTATTATTGAAATGGTGGCCGGCGTGAGCGTGGGCTCGAGAGTACAACAGCGTTTAAAAAATAAGTTATATACCGGCGCGGAGACTTGATCATGATTATTTCACGGTATTTCCGGAGCGCAATGTACTGACACCGTCACATCAAGCTTGGCCAACGGCACCTGTCTGCATCTGTTCGGGATATCGTCGCGACTCACAACTTACCACATACCATCTCCCGTCATCTCAAAGCGGGTAATGTGCTACGACACAGTGACCAGCGTCCGCTCGCTGCACTCACCGCCGAAGCTGGCCTGCTCCGCGGCTGCCGCATGTGGGACGCGCACCCGGGCAGTCAGGTAGTCAGAGGCGTCACGCCAGAGGTCGCTCTGCAGGTCCCCAGATGCCGCATGTGGGACGTGTACCCGAGCAGTCAGGTAGTCAGAGGCGTCACGCCAGAGGTCGCTCTGCAGGTTCCCAGATGCCGCATGTGGGACGTGCACCCGAACAGTCAGGCAGTCAGTGGCGTTACACCAGAGGCCGCTCTGCAGGTCCCCAGATGCCGCATGTGGGGCGTGCACCCGAGCAGTCAGGTAGTCAGGGGCGTCACGCCAGAGCTCGCTCTGCAGGTCCCCAGATGCCGCATGTAGGACGTGCACCCGAGCAGTCAGGTAGTCAAGGGCGTCACGCGAGGTCGCTCTGCAGGTCCCCAGATGCCACATGTGGGACGTGCACCCGAGCAGTCAGGTAGTCAAGGGCGTCACGCTAGAGCTCGCTCTGCATGTCCTCAGATGCCGCGTGTGGGACGTGCACCCGAGCAGTCAGGTAGTCAGAGGCGTCACGCCAGGGGCCGCTCTGCCGGTCCCCAGATGTAACACGCTAGAGCTGAGCTCCTGTAGAGTTGTGCGAAAACCACTGGCTGCCGCAGCTTGTGCTCGGCGTACGGTGTTGCATTGAAGTCGCGTTGTGCGACATGCTGTATGTTTCCTATATCTGTCTTCTGTCAGCGACGGGATCACTCGGTTTGTCGCCTTCTTTGCAAGACGTAGGCACAATCTTTTTGTCTATTTGCGATATATTTAGGCATGCAATGACGTGGTGCATGACATTATTATATGTCAGTCATGGTATACACTCGCCACACAATCCACAGGAACGGCTTTAAGAATGCTAAATAAGCCATTGTGAAAAAAACGAACGCAATCGTGCATAAAGTGCAGACCTAACAATAAACAAAACTTCAAATTTGTACGTGTAACGTACGGGAACAGCTGCTAGAAAAAAAAGCTCGTCTGGCATGGTGCCATAAGTTGTTTGTTCGTTCTTTTGTGCTATAGGCCAAGCTAAAAGGAACTGGCTGTTACGAGCATTTCAGATAAACTTTTAACAGCAACAAACGCAGCTATGTTCAGTAATACAGGAAAGCACATACCATACCTTATAGATATCCTGACCCTCTCACATGCACACGCACACACGCAGAAAAATAAAACCCATCTCATTTGGAACCTCGTATATCAATCTGACTGTCTTCTAGAAACACCTTTTTGTAACTCGCTGTCTTTTTGACATGGTATTGAGGCCATTCGTTACAAAAGATGGTCCTCAAATCGATGCACTTTGCTTACTGCTGACATGTGGTCCCACCCAACAAAGTAATCGGGCAAGTCAGCTGGTCAGAGGTCTCCCTGTAATACTGCTGAATACAATATATACCGTCATTTGCGCTGTTCACCGCGACGTGAACAGCTGCTGTAGATAACAGCGAGCCTCAAGGGTGTATGATATCGTTTTCAGTCGCTCTTGCGTGGAAAGTTAAGCAAAAAATCGGACTAATTTGACGACCATGTGATCCATTTTAACGACACTATATCACTTGAACCATGGAGATGACTTCATTATCCATAAATTTTAAAGGGAGGCTTAGCAAAGAGGCTTTCCCGACATCATGTTTTCGGCGCATGTCTTCGGAAACTGGACACCCCTAAGAAGTAGGTCAGTCAGTGCCTGAAACGAAACAGCACGGTCTGTGTGACAAGAAGGCGTGCATGAACAGTTCCTTTCTTAGTCTGATGCACAGGAAAGGAAACGTGCACCGCAAAACAATAAAAAAACAATGCTTTCCGTCTTAATCTTTCGCCATTCAATACCATAACAGAATACTTGCTTGGTGGAGGTGCCAATGCAACGTGCTCTAGGTATTGCTCTAAAACTCATTTTACTTCTAACGAACTTTAAAACAGATCGGTACGTACAAAACACTATCACAAAGTCACCGTTTAAAAAAGGTGCAGTGCAACCCTGCCCCATCGTGTCACTCACAGATAGATCGCTGATGCAGACAGTAATCGGAAGAATAAGGATGTACCATCCAGCGCAAAAGCATGCAATCCAAAATGCGATGAAGAACAAAAGTAGCAGCCATATGATGCCCCAGAAGATACATCCTATCCCTCCTTCGCCTCTACCCATCCTGAAACAATGGAATAGGCGAGAGACCGTCATTTTACATTACGAACATTATGAACAGGATGCAATTTTACAGCCCACTGTGAAACGAAACGCAAGAGCATGTTGAGACACTATGTGTTGGAAAACATTCGCACGAGGTGGCATAGCATAAGTCAGCTTAACTCCTCACCTAGGTTATGTACTTACTTTTTACTTGGAAAGTCCGAAGGCGAAGCAAACTCTGTGAACGTAAACGGTTCCCGTGAATGTCACTTGATTCGAAGCTATTTAACGCAGGTGCGTCTCAGTCGCAGCGTGTCCACTCTCAACCCTGGTTCCTGGCTTGTCTGACTCAAGGCTATATGAGAAGCCTGGCGCTCGACCTATTCCAATATTTGCTTGAAAGATTGACATACTTCGTCCAAAGAAAATTTTCAGGCACGCTTGTCTCTCTTATAAGCACTTCCTTGTGCTGGTCTTGTGAACATGCACTGTACACACAACATGATGAAGTAGCTATGCTAACATTCTCTTTGACAATTTTCTTATTTCTTTTTTCATTCA